TCCTTCTCCTTCTCCTTCTCCTTCTCCTTCTCCTTCTCCTTCTCCTTCTCCTTCTCCTAAAAAAGCAATAATGACACAGATTTCAGAAAGATATATTTAATGTGGTCCAGGCATCTTGAAAAATACAATAGTGGATTAAGGTGGAGTCTCTTTGAAATGCTTTTTCACAGATATCTCCCACCTGGGCTGAATTGCCATTCACAAGGTGATCTGTCAACTGACTCTCCCATTTTTTCCCAGTTTCTGCACAATTTCTCACACCACAGCTCTGGTTGAAAGCAACCAAGTGTGTGTCTTCACAAGAGGTTGCAAGGACTTTTGAGACTTAGCATTTTATATCCACTGGGATGGGTTAAAAAGGCTTGGTTGGAAAGAGACAAAACTGTTTCACACAGTTGACTCCAGCAGACCAAACTGACCCTGTGGCACATTGTTTGCATGCACCAAAAATGCTCCTCCTTCTCTCCCCTCAGTAGTTCAGCTTGTCACTATCAACCAGGAACTACAGTACAGGAATTGCAAATTAGAACTCAGTTATGGCGGAGGAATTAGAGACATGGTCTCTCATACACATGAAGCCACAGAAACACACACACACACACACACACACACACACACACACATTCTGTCCCAGAAACACAGGGAATATGATGCATTGCTAAAATCCTGATGGTTTCTTTTTTGGAGTGTTGCCAGTAGGAGGGGAAAAGAACCTAGACACTGGAAATCTGGTGCACACACTGGAGCAAACGCATACAGTACTGGAAATTCACACTCAATAACACCCAGGCTGAAGTCTATTTACTTTACAGTGAGGGGAACCTGGACCAATAAAGCATGCCAGAACACCACAGGAAATGTGAGAGGAGAGACATAAGGGTGCCTAGGAAAACTAAGGGCTCCTCCTAATGGCACATAAATGTGCATCCTTGAATCAGCAGCCATACATTTCCTGGATTCATTTCTCCTCCTATTCAGTTTCAGCTGCCAGCAAGAAAAAGCACCAATCCCTCTGTTTAATGTGTGACAAGGTGGGATTGGGCATACATAGATAGATGTCTGGGAAATAGGGTTTAGCCACCTTTCAGATTACCTGAGCAACTGGTCACTGGCATGGAGGTGCTTTACCCTGGTGATCTGACATACAGGGCATTTTTGTACACAAGTCTAGTGCTCATCTGAAAGGAGGCGAAACCCATGTCCCAAACTAGTCCAAGTGACAGGTCACAGGTATTGAATTGGGAGGGAGGGAGGGAGGAGGGTTATGAGGAACATTGAGGATGCTCATTCACTCAGTGGTCCTCCTCTGCACCTAATCTGTTGGGCTTTTCTGAGTGAAATTCAGTAGTTATTTGAATTTCTATTTACATATACATCCCAGGGGATGTATATGTAAAACTGAATGTTTAATTGAACATCTCTATCTTGTGCAATGATTTGCTGCAAGAGTGTTAGTACTAGCAGTGAATGACCAAGGAATCCAGTTCTGACCTTGGTCAAGCAGCATCTAGGAATAGCCCATGGAGTACACAAAATGACATAGAAGTAGCAAAAATGTCACCCCCAAAGACAGAAACAAATACTCAGTGTGAAAAAGTATAGCTATGGGACACCCTTGTTGGCAGAAGCAGTGGAAACCCTGCAATCACTCATCTGGGACAGAACCAGCAACGCACAGCTGGCAGATTCTAGCTCTCTTTCCCAGCTTGGAACAGCCTTCTGTGCAGCACAGATTATACATATTTGGGATGCAGTGGATTTTCCAGACGATCAATGTATGCACCAAAGTATTGGGCTGATGCAAAGAGGGTTGGGAGGTACTTTATAGCAGTAGTGGGGTAATGCCTTAGAAAACTATTTACAAGTATTTTTAAAAAGTATTTTTGAAGTTGATGTGCAAAATGTGCTTTTGGTTTGTTGCATGAGTCATCTGGAATGGTTTGATGTGCTGAGAAATACCTCCACTTGTTACTTATGGTGTATTATAGTCTGGTTTTTGTAGATCAGTGCTTCTTAAAGTGTGGCCCAAGGACTCCTGGGGGTCCCCCAAGACCCTCTCAGCGGTCTGCATAATCAAAATTATTTGCCAGATATTGAAGATATTTGCAAAAATTTAAAACAATGTTACTCTTCTCTTTATTTTTTAAAATTTGTTAAAACTATAGGGTTTTTTCCCTTGAAAAATATTTTATTTATGTTAATATCTAATGGGTTTAATATTGTTATTTTTACATAATATTCAATAAATATTCTACAAATGCATCAATTTTAATTTTTGATATGGTAAATATCAATAAATATAATTCATACAAGCAAAAGCTCCTCTGGGGTCCTCCATCATTTTTAAAAATGGGACAGGATCCTGAGAGCAAAAAGTTTAAGAAACATTGGTGTAGATAAGTATATACAATTTGACATGGCATGATTCTGCACTTAGTTGAGAAGTTAGATTTGATAGCTGATCTTTCAGTTTGTGATGTTCTAAAAATGAGTGCCAAATATAACTGGTAGTGGCAGCCCTCTGTCTCTGATTTTAGGAAAACAGACAGTTGTGAAGCTACGTAAAAAGAGAGATCAGAAGAAGCTAGACATCTCTGAGTGTATTTCCTCCAATCCCCCCACCTGCAAAGCGGAATGTGGTAGAAAACTCAGAGGATAAAATGAGTATTTTACTTCACATTATTGACAAGGAGTATATCACACATCTGAATGTTAATCAATGTAAAAATTAGCAGGAAAAAGAGGACTATGATTGGATACTGGCTGAATGTTAACGGGATTGTTAATGTAGGAAAACATTAAGAAATGTGATTTGCAGTCTAAAATGACACAGTCCATTCTGTCATAACATTCTACTACTGACTTCTGGAGAATGTGTGGCTAAAAGCTAAGAAAAAAAGCAGGGATTTTAAAAAATGGTAAGGGACCAAGCCATAAAAAAGAGTTGGGCGGGGGGGACTCCAAATGTCAGTCCAAAAAGGAAGGACTGTGCACAGTTAGCAACAAGGCCAGAGAAAGGATGGCTAAAAGAAGAATGTGAGACGGGGGAAGTGAATGGAACAGCTTGTAATTTGGAAGTCAGAGAGGAAGGGCTGAACTTTATATTTTGATTCAGATTTACTCTAATGTTGGCTCTCTGAGATAATATTTCTCTGAAATAATATTCTTTTTTAGGCAGTAAAGCCTGTTTAATGAACCTGGCAGGATCTGCATGCTTTGGAAAAGAAACAACCAACAATATATTGTTTACAATATAAATCTACACAATTTATTTACAACTGTACACTTGAGTGAATATTACAGCAGCATAAAAGCAGATATACATATAGCAGTGCTAGAAACACAGCAGCATCAATTTCAGATCCCCAAACAGTTTTATCCTCTCAGAAACTCTGGACAATTTTGCCACATAAAAATCACAGGGCTTCTTGGAACAGTTGTTACCATATTTTGCCACCTATAGTTAGATATGTCTCAACAGGCACTATAAGATGGCTTTGAACAAAGAGCTGCATAACTGTTGATTGATCATTGTTGTCCATACCCAAGTCTCCTGGGCCGATTTCGAAAAACGAGTCCATGCTTCACAACAATACCAAATAAGTTTCTTGCATTTGGCTGCTGCTGTAGGAAATAGGGCCACTATTTTTTTGCCCCCATTCATTCAGAAGAAATTTTAAGTTGACCCCATTTGATTGGATCCAGAAAGAATGAGGGCACCTACAAGTGTTTTGGGCTTTAACTCACTTGGTTCCTTTTATGAAGCTTTAACGTAAGAATATGAGGGACAATTCTTGATCAAGGAAAGACTGAAATCAAGTCTTTTTGAAATTCTGATCCAGAATAGAGACAGGAGATAGCAATATTTCCAAGATTAACTTGCACAGGTCTTCCCTGAGTCATTTTGTCCTTCCTTGCTCAGCAACCAGCTTGCTCTGTTTCCCGATCGTCTTTTTCCTGTTTCCCTGGCTTGACTGATTTTTCCTAAACAAGCTGTCTTCATTTGGTGATGGGCATCTTTGGTCCCTCAAGAGCTAAGGTGAGGTTTGGACTCTCTTCTTTCTCCTTACAACAGACCTGGTCTTTAGCATCGCCGGTTAGTGCCAAGAAGTTCCCTGCTGGGTCGGACACGACTCTTTACTTCTGGTAGCAACCAAGGCATTTTGATGTAATTCATCACCACCTTGGCGGGGCTACGGAGTGCTGGGTTAGGTGTCAGGAGCCCCTGCAACATTTCTAATGCTTGGGGAGTGAAACGTTCCCAGTGGGCTGGGAGCGGAACAAAACGGGGGCTGCGATGCCAGGAGACAAAGCTGCGGTAATACTGATCAGAAGGCACAGCCGTAAGCCAGGGGAAGTAGCCGGTTAGCACACAGAACATCAGCACTCCGAGAGCCCAGGTATCAAGGCTCGGCTGGGCTTCCAAATGAGCTTTGGGCCCCAGGATACACATTTCAGGTGAGGTATAAGGCAGGCTTTCAGGCAAGGCCTCAATGGCCCGGCCCTTTGGACAGCTCAGCCCAAAGTCAGTCAGCTTGATGCGGCGGCACGCAGGGTCACAGAGCAGCACGTTTTCTGGCTTGACATCTCGATGGACTAGCCCTTTGGATTCCATGTACTCCAGGGCACTAGCAAGCTGGAGGACACAGCGCTTTACCTGCTGCTCAGGCACACCAACCTGGAGAGAAAAGATGAGAGATCTGTAAGTCACAGCCTCACGTCCTAAAGAGGATGAGGGATATCAGGAACCGCTACCTGGTTTTCTAGGGGTCTCAAGAAGGTTTAGAATGGGATTCTTCATGATCTTAGGATACCATCTTTTTAAAATATGGGGTGGTCCTTTTTAAAAGCTCATAGCTGAATTACTGACATGATACGTAAGGCCAGCAAAGAGGACATGCAGTCTTTTTAAGCACTCGCATTTCAGGCAGCTTTCCAAGAAGTAATTTGAAACATAACCGAGAAGAGGATAAGTTTGTGTGGTGATCAGTGTCTATCACTTAATGCAAACATAGTGCCTTGCATCCAAAAGCTAGCATAGCAAACAGTCTCTGTCTCTTTCTAGTTGTATATTTTCAAAATACAGTAATGCATAACTTTATTATCAACAGTCCATACCATCTTTAAAGAAGCATTCTCCCTTCTCACAGTAAGAAGAAATGCCTTTTTCTAAACAACTGCTTGCTACAACAGGCATACGTGCAACAGTTAAAGTCATGCTTTTTGCCTCAAAATATTTCTTCTACCCATGAGTATCCATGCAAGGAATAAATGAACCAACTAGAACTATGCAGTCCAAAAGGCCAACTTGAATTACATCTCATCACCAAGGGCATGGTTTACATAGGCTAAAAGTTCATGATATGGATTAGACAGCCTTGGATAGTAGAATGGAGATGGTATATAAAATATCTAAAGTAACAGGAATAATTCCAGTTAAGGAGAAGCTCCTTGGTGAGGAAGTGAAAGCACTCTCCACATCCTTAGTAGGAAATCCATCTCTCTCTCTCTCTCTCTCTCTCTCTCTCTCTCTCTCTCTCTCTGGGTTCAAGACCACATTCCTGGGGGAGCTCAGGATGTCCCCAAATGAGAATATTGGGTGAGAGACACTAACTGGAGTTTCCATGGCTGAGTGTGGGCTTGAACCTCCTCAGTTCTAGTCCACTATCACCACTGGCAGCACAAAGCAACTTTGGAAACAGCCTTTTCCTATCTGAAATATCTTTGGAATGGATTAAGGTGGTTGAAGGATGATCACTACATCGGTTTCACTATTTGTCACACCATCTATTTATTTAACTACTGTAAATAATTTGTTGTGGTTACTTACCTGTGGCACCATGAGAGAGAAGAGGTCACGAGCCAGTGCCAATTCTTGTGCAAAGACATAGTGTTGGGGGGTTTGGAAGGCAATCCCAAGGGCGGTGGCAATGCAGGGGTGGGCCCCTAAAGTCAGTGCAATGCAATATTCACTAAGGAAATCCTGCAGCTCTGTATCTTTTTTATGTACAAATTTCAGTGCCATGGGGGTTCCTGAAAGAGAAATGTATTTGGTTCATGAAAGGGAGAAGAAACTCAGTGTTTTGACTTCTCCCCATTCCAGATTGAACCAGTTTGATATGCAGATAGGTATGCATTGATATTCTTCCTTCATTTTACTCCCACAACAACTATGTAAGATAGGCTGGGCTGAGACAGAATGACCAGCCAAAACCACCCAGTGGATTTCCATGGTTGAAGGTAGACTTTAATTTAGATCTCCCCAATTCTAATCCAACACTCTAAGTACTCCATCATACTGGTTTTCTTACCAGTTGACCCCAACCCTGCTGATATTTCAAAAAGGTTTAAAAACCTGATTGTTTTTAAAGCTTTTTGAACCATGCTGATTCCCAAACACTGTGGTCGAGAGGTTAATTGAGCCTGTGAGATAGATATGTAATCATTGATGATTTATGTTGTCCTTGGTTGCCAGTATGTATATTATATTATTGTGCATATATATTCTGTGCCCAGAGTGTTAGCCACTCAGAGTCACTACTGTGAGATAGATTAAATAAATAATAAAATCTCATCCTATTTGTTCCTGTGATATAAGAGAAATTGACTGGATTCAATTGAGGCAGAATTGTAGAAGCAACCTCAGTTTAAGATGCTGCGGGACTGTAGCTCTTCTAAGGTTTTAAGGGACTTTTAAGCAGGTTCATTTTAGGCAAGAGTATGTACAATTAAAGTAGATCGGTAATTATTAATCTAAACCTAACAAGCACAATTACTGTTAATCAAATAGTCAAACACTATCAATATTAGATACAGATCAATAGAGCAGTCCTGGGTATCTTTCTCCAGAAGCCAGATCTATTGATTTATAAATATGTATGACTGCAACCTAAATTAAGTCACATGAACTTCGATAAGAAAAGTTAAATGAACCTGTTCAACTTGTTGTGTACTGTGACTTAGCCATAATGTCCTGTAGTTTAAATGACTAGGCCTGTGCATGCTTTGACAATAATTCAAAAAAAGTCTTTTAGACCCCACAGGAGTACAGTACCTCTGTGATATTCATGAAAGAAGCCTGACTTTTTTCAGGCTTCCCCATGATCCTGGAGGAAAATCCACTGCTTTAAGAAATCCACTTAATAAAGTTAATACAACTTTAAAGGAGTAGTATCCATTTCTGAGTCCTGCACAAAACCCTGCCCTAATGAAGAGCAGCAAGGAGCTGTAATGGTATGTGGGAATGACCTTGGGAGACAGGAGGAAGAGTCACAGACTGGATAACTGTCACATAAAAGATATCTAATCCACAGGAGAGGGGGGCCATGGGAAGCGATTCATAAGGGATCCTCCTTAGTTTTCTGGAGAGTAAAAGGAAAGGAGGTGGAAAATACTTTCAGTCTTGCAAGATTCTGTTACTAACTCGAAGGGCTAACAGGAGGTGAACTCGTGCAGGATGCAAAGCACTTTTGTTTTGCTCCAAATAATTTTCCAGGTGCGGACAACCCTACAAATTATATTGGTTCCTAGCCTCTCGTATTCCTTCCTTTACCTCCAGAATCCTGACCTACCTTGGCGATGGTGGACTGCCATCAACACGTGCCCAAAGGCACCACTTCCCAGCTCTCGGAGGATGGTGTAACTACTGGTCACCTCCACCTGAGGTAGGTTCTGAGCTGTCAGCTGCACCATCTCCTCAAGTCGTTTTGCAATGTCACCAGGGACTAGCTTCATGACTGCAGAGAAAGACATATACGTATTAAGAGGACTTGAGGTGAGTACAGAAGACATCATTAAATAAGTAGCACCCATGGACCCTTCTTGAAGCTTGTCCTGCTAAGCACAAGAGGATTTTATGATTCCTTTGGTCCCCTGGATTTCAACTGGAGAAAGGATGTGATGTAAACCTACTCACAACAAAAAGTAAACATTTCCCCTTTCACAACAAACAAACAAACATTTGTTTTTTAAATATTTAAATATTTTGGCAGCCAAAGCTGCAGGACACAAAACAAAAATGGAATTATGTTGCCCAAGTGGGTAAGATGTTTGATAGTGTATTTTTCCCCTTTTGAGGCTTGTTAAAAGATCATAAAGCCCACCTGAGGCTTTGTAGACTATTTGACTTAGTATTTTGCCAAAAATCATGGCTGGAAATCATATTGCTTGCTGTCAAATTTTGATCTACTCCATAGACTTTAAGTTCCATGTGCCTGATCTATAAAATAGGAGTGGAAGGGAACACACTTTATTTCAAGAAATAGAGTAAGTGCATTAGTGGAAAGCAAGAAGAACAATGGTGGATCAGATCAAACATACCTCTCCACTCCTTAACCTAACCCCCTTAAAATCAAGCCTCATAAGGCAGTGGTTTATAACATTATCCAGTTATTGCTATAGAGCCTGTCTGCCATAGTGATGGCTGAATGATGTTACAAATTGCTTGTGTAGAAATCCTAAGCAAATCTGGCTGAGTGGGAATTGCTTTGAGCAAGGTTGCACAGAAAAATAAATTAGGAACAGTGGAGAACAGTGTTCCTTTTCATCTAACACAATCACCCCATATATACATAGGTTTTATATATGAATGTACCTGGAACAGACATGCATGGTTTCAAGTTTGGCTATGCTAAGTAAAATCTTGCAAAGTAATGAAGAGAATTTGATCACTCTCTTACTTCTCTGCTGTTTGGTTGGGTTTAATAACTGTACAGGTAGTCCTTGACTTATGACCATTCGTTCAGCGACCATTCAAAGTTACAACAGCACTGAACGAATGGTGGTTATGACTAGTCCTTGGAGTTCCAGACATCCCAGCACCCCCATGTCACATGATCACAATCTGTACACTTGACAAGCTTGTACTTACAACCAGTTGCAGTGCCCCACAATCATATGATCGCCATTTGCGACCTTCCCTGTTGGCTTCCCCAGAAAGTCAATGGGGAAGCCAGCAGGGAAGGTTGCAAGTCACTGGAGTTAGTCTCCCCCACCCCCCCCCTCCCCTAGCCCCTCTGTGCTTGTGCCACGCCAGCCACTTGTGCACTTTACCTGACCCTTGCCAGATCTCCCTCGCACCCCTATGCACCCTTGAACACCCTCCCTGATCCCCCCCGTACCTCCCTCGCACACTCACACACCCGCTTGTACCCTCCCCTTATCTGCCTGCCTGGGACTTGCAACTTTTTGCTGGCTTTCCCACTGATTTGGTTATGGGAAGCCAGAAGGAAGTTGTCTCGCTTAACAACCATGAGATTTGGTTAATGACGGCAACTGGGATTGCAGGAATTAACTGTCGCTAAGCGATGCATTCGTACTTTACAACTGGATCGCTTAGCAACAGAAATTCCAGTCCCAATTATCATAAGTTGAGGACTACCTGTATAGTATTCCCCCACCCCACCCCAACAATATGGAAGATAACTGCAGATTGTTAATATCAGGGAATATCTTTGTTCCAAACACTGGGGAGAATTTTACCACCCTCCTATTTCCATAAATGTTACATTGGGTACTAAAGTGTGCTCAAAACGTGGCTTACCATTTGGCAGGGTGTTATGATATAAACCAGATCTGCAGCTCTGGAAGACCACATATTTTATTTAGAACATTTATATTTCCCTTCCACCAGCAGCTTAAGGCTGTGTTCTTCACTCCTTGTTTGCATTTCTTTCTCGCACCAGCTCTGTGAGGTAGGTTAGGCTGAAGTTAGCCCAAAGTTACACAATGGATGTAATGGCTCCCAGGGGATTTGAACCTGATTCTCCAATCCATGCAGATTCAGATGGAATACCTGCATGTAAATAATTATTTCACTGTGCAGACATGGCCTATAGTGAGCATGAGTGATTTGTCCTCAAATATGGCATCGCGTCCTGTTTACTCTCACTCTTCCTTACTCATTCTGAAGCAACGTGTATTCCGACGAGAGAAAATGATACCTCCTGGCAAAACTTCAGAAATGCCTACACCCTGTGTTTACATAAGCAGATAAAACAAATTCAGGACTGTTGTACACACTGAGGGACAACCAGATGCCATTCAGTTTTAAAAAGCTGCAAAATGATACAAAACCCAGAATGCTGGGCCAGATGGGTAGAAAAATGATGGTAAATGCTGAAGCTCATACACTAAAACTGTTAAGTACTGAATGCTGCTACCAACATAAAGAGTGGCTTTCCCTCACAAAACGACCACAGCCAATGCTGTCAGAATGGGAAAAGGTACTTTTAAGGCAGAGGATGTGATTTACAGACAGAGAGGTTTCACTTCCAACATCTCAAAGCTCTGACAGCAGGTGGAGAGGATATCATCGGGGCTTGTGCATTCACCATGGATACCACCCAAAAGCATGACCAAGACATTTTTCCCAAGGGCTCTATAAGTACCTTTTAGGTTGTAACAAATGCAGTCGATGCAAGAGAATAAGCAAAAGCGAGACACCTAAGTTGAGCTGGATTCATAGGAGCTTTCAAGCTTTGAAGTGCACCGTCTGGCCTGTAGGCTTTGCCGATGCAGCTCTTAGAAATAACAACTAAATGTCCCTAAAACAGATCCTTACCCGCAACAGTGGAGCTGGAGCACAGGTGTCTCTTTTCCATGTTTCTTCCTTATAGGATTTTGTTGATTGAACAGTCAATTCTGCCTTGTCTGCCTATTCAGTACCTGCTCCATCTAGATCCCTATAGAACCTTTTATAGTAACTACTTCCCATCTAGTCCTGTCCAGTCACATAAACAGGGAACTGTACCAAACCACTCCTCTTGTCTCTTCTCCACTCTGCCCCAAAAGGTCAAGACTCTTGGGAGTCCGGGCAGTTCCAGGGGGCAGGATTAACAGCCACTTATCATGGTTATTTTTACTGCTCTTACCCAGATGGTTTTATACTTATGTGTACCAGATGTTCCTGGAAAGAAATGCTTCTCCTGTCTCTGGAGAACCAGTGGCTAAGGTCTGATGAGACAAAGTCTTGAGACTGGATGAAAGGGATCTGTACTGGGGTGCCCACGTAACCCCATCTTTCCATTTTTGACAGATCAGCACAACCTTCTTAAGCCCAGACTACTTTTCTTGCACCCTGGTTTTACTCGGGGCCTCTCCACATGCACTCGTTGAGCCATTCAATCTGGATGACACTATTTTGTTTAGAGGACTGAAAAAGCGGATTATTTTTTGCTTCTGCACTGGTTTATTTGAAAACAACAGCAAAGCTGGGCTTTTTTCTTTTGGTAAGAATGAGGACTGTGGATGGTCTCTTTTTCTGCTAGTTTTGCTTTGCCTTTACTTTGCTGTGTTCTGGGTGCAAGTAAGCCCTTGCTTAGTGTCTGCCGCAGTCTAGGCATGTAAGGGAAGGATTAAAAAAGTAAGGTTTCCTTTGTGTCAAACTTGTGTCAAATGTTTCCTCGTGAAAACAACTATGCGATTTTCTTGGCAATAGTATGAAAGTGCTTTGACACTGCCTTCTTTCAGGGTGTTTTTGATTTGTTGGTCTTTCCTACACTTGAACATTCCTGGCTAATCTCCCATCAACGTATTAACCTGCTGCATCACTCCTTAGCTGTCAACTCTAGGCAACCTTATCAGCAAACCCAGTTTTAATTCTTTTTCTTTCAAATTAGTTTCAGAATCTCTGTAAAGGCTTGATTTTTTCCCTGTTTATATAAGAAGATTGCACAGAACACTTGCCTTGTCTACTTCCTATTTTTTTGGCTGAAGACATTACAGGTAGTCCTTGCTTAACAACCACAATTGGAACCGGAATTTAGGTCACTAAGTGATGTGGTCATTAAGCGAATCATCATGTAACTGGACCTGATTTTATGACCTTTTTTGTGGTGGTCGTAAGTAAACCACTGCAGTCGTTAAGTGAATCATGTGGTTCCCCATTGATTTTGCTTGCCAGAAGCCGGCTGGGAAGGTTGCAAATGGTGATCACATGACCCTGGGATGCTGCAACCGTTATAAGTGTGAGCTGGTTGCCAAGTGACTGGATTGTGATAATGTGACCGTGGGGGCGCTGTGACAGTCGTAAATTTCTGTACTGGTTGTAAGTCACTTTTTAGCACTGTTGTAACTTTGAATGGTTGCTAAATG